CCCTGGGGGTAAGCAGATAAACATCAAATTTTCATTTTTGGGTGAACTATCCCTTTAAGAAAAGTCCTAAAATTGAACCAAAACTGCTTTAAAATGCAGATGGAGTCACATAAGCACAGACCACTATGTTTTTCTTACCTACTTTAACTTTAATTCTCCCTGATGTTTACAAAAACGTCTGGAAGAAAGGAAGCCACACCAGATTGATTGACTATTGCATTTGTTGCAGAAACAGTTAGCAGTACAAACCCAGCCCTAATGCCATGATGCATTATATCTCTTGGGCACTTCCAGAAAAATATCAGTGGCTTCCCAGGCTTGAATCCCAGTTTTAAAAACTTGACCATCAACTGAGACACGTCAGAGGAACTAAGGTCAGCAGAACCTTGTTATAAACCGTTGCTCTTTGAGAATGTTACTCTGGGACTTACTAGGACCAGAAGGGGCTCAACTCATAATGCACGAGGCCCTGAGATGGAAGAAGGACTTCAGCTCTGAAGGGCCGAAAGGGTGTTCAAAGCCGCATGTTGCACAATCGTGTAACCTGAGATTGAACGTTGGCTTGTGTTCCATACCACAGCTAGGCCCAACTGGACCCCCCTAGGAGGAGTGGTTGAGAGGGTGCAGGAGAAGTACACGCAGAGGGGGCAGGGAGGTGTGTGTTGTTCTCTGAGCAGTGTGGGACAGTTTTCCTAGCAGCAGGGAGGAAAGGCAGGGCCTCTCCACCTCCCCTGCTGTCGTATAGCTAGTTTCTCTGACCGCTGTAAGTACACAAGTGAAACCTTCGCTCAAATTCCAAAGTGCAGGAGCTGCCCCACTCTAGGACCTTGTCCCTTCACTGGACAATTGAGGCAAATGGAGGTGGGAGGGAATATAATAGTGAAACCATTCCAAGTTTAAGAGGAGATTTGTTGATTCCATGTCCAAAATAGTGTTTTGAGAGGCAATCCAAGACATCTTATTCCATCATGAAAAATAGGTATCACATAGCCACCATCTTTTAAGATTGTCTTCCAAAGTGATATCACTGCATTAACTAGTGTTATTGTAGATACTCACCCAACCAGAACCTTCACATTGAGGATCCAATAAATAAAACTTAAAATTTCAATCTTGATGTTACCTAACAACAGTAGCTACAGTAACTCTTGTTTCAGGTTTAGTACTCTAGCTAGCCTACATTAAGTATCATATGAAAGCTCACTAAATAAATAGCGGGGTACTGGGTTGTATTAGTCAAGAGAGCATTCTGCACATAAACATTCACACACATTGATCTACAGTCTAACACAATGCCCCATAAGCCCTAAGGTGGAAAAAAAAAACAGTAGCTCAGCTTTCTTCTCATCGCATAGAGTAAACACAAAAAACTTGACAGCGGAAACATATATAAGATCAGATTTTGTGACATGGTGCATAGCAAAGCTTGAGAATATAAAGGTACTGTAGTGATGTGAGATCTTGTCTCCAAGGATCCTACTCATGGAACATCATTGCTTACCTCAGTGTGAAGAAGCCTGGCTAACATTTCACCTAATCTGAATTAGAAGGCAAAAATCTCGTTTGCTTGTTCAACCTTTTCTCTTTTTGCATAATTTACATTTTGGTGTACATTTACACCAAAGTTACACACTAGTTTGCAGGTTTCTTTCCAATCATTAGTTTGCACACTTCTACTGACAGCGCTTTTTTTGCACTTCACTTTTCTAAAGGATGTCAGGTAAGCTGCTTGGTTAATTGATGTGACACACTTTCACATTCAGCGAGCAAGCTAGTGGTGTATGACTTTCATATTTCATATATCTCATCGATTCATATTTGGAAAAAACAAAACAAGATAAATTGTAAATATAATTCAAATTAAAATTCCCGATCGTGTGGATTCCTATTGAAATGACTGTATTTCCCCTGAGACAATTCAACGAACCACAGAGAATGTGACCATACCTTAAGACAGGACGATACTGTTTGACCGGTAAGTGATCAACTATTGATGTTAAATCTATTCTGCAGAATGCAGCTTTGAGGAGTGAAGACATCTATGTGCTCATGTAAATTAACATTTTGCAGATATATATTTTTAGATACATTTCGAACTTTTATCAGTTAAATGCATCAAAATAATGATGACTCATCTAGCACTCAGAGGAGTATACAAATTCCTGTCCAATGAAATTAGCAATAGCTAGTAGCAAATAATGGTTCACAGCTGTTACATAAGCTAAAAGCTATTTTTATATATAAAATACAAAGCATTATGTTCCATCCTGACTTCCTGTTTCAATAGGAAATATGTTAGCATAGGAAGGTAAACTGTGCTTTTGAAGCAATTTCATCAGGTCTTTAAATGTCAACCATCTAAATTCCTCTCTCATTTCTGTACAATGTTTCTGTGAATAGTTTTCTGTGCTCACTTTTGGTCTTGTAGCTTTAGACCGTTCTCCACTGTCATCTTTGCGTAAAGTATCTATAGGATGCAAGCTCTTCTTACATGTAAAAACACTGAGCACTGTGAGCAGTTGCCATTTTGACAAGTTTATTTGATTCTTGTAAGCTGTAAAATAAGTTGTGGTATGAGGGTGAAGTGAACCAACCTCTAAGGGAATAACTGACTGACGAGTAAACTTACTTTGTCTTTGCTTTTCTCAGAGCCGCTCCACTAACTCCATGCACTGCCAAATAAGGTGTTCGAGGACCAACTATGAAAACAAATGAGATGTTCCTTTAGTTTTCATGGAAGAAGACAGCCTCTACAACACTTGGGGGGATACTACTTTTTTGTCAAGAAAATAAGGTCTCTGGTTGTGTATGCATGTGCAAATCTGTGTACGTGTACATGTTTGCCGCTGCTGTTTAAATATGTCAGAACAACGTAATTTTAATGCAGTCTGTTGGGGCCTGGGGCACATCTTGTTCTGTGTACCAGCCAGTGCTGTCACTGCGTCCCTCCATGTAATCAACTCATCGGTCCAAAAGCAAAAGAAGAGAAAGAAAAAGAGTGAGCGAGAGAGAGAAAGGAAAAGAGAAAAGAGGCAGAAGGGGAGGATACACATGTAAGGTCACAGCTGCATGGGGTGCGTGAGGGGGATGAGCAGGCAGAGGGTTTGGTGACACACACGGAGCGCAGGCTGTGGTGCAAGGACTCTGTCCTACCCTCTGGTTCTTTCCGTTAGCCTCTTAAAGGTACAACGCCTCCCTTTGGCCAAAGACCACCCTGTGTCAGGCGTCTCTCTTTAAAGCACTATGCCCTATGAAAGTATTGCTGTGGTACCAGTGATAGTTTCAGATGGTAATACAAGAGCACTTTGATATTAGTCTAGATTTTGTTAATTGCCGTAAGGTCTGGCACACATTTGTAGCTTGTCACATTAGTGAAATTTCAGAAAAATTGTGCAGGCAAAAAAGGTCTATTGTCTATTATGCATGAAGTGCAGCTCACACTGAAGTCACTTGCAAACCAAGCAGCTTTCTCTTGGTCAACATGACAAACTTGAACCAGTCGCAAAATCTGTGTGGGAAAGCGTTTTGCAGTCACATAAAATTCCTATTAAAATGACTAGATTGTGCCCATGAAAATTCACCAAACCATGGTAAATGTCATCACTGTAAATGTGACAGGACGGACGAGATTGTTTGACAGATATGTAAAACGTTAGTTCCTTTTGGGTCAGCACATGGGTTATAATTACAAAAATAAGAGGTCGTCTTTCAATTCAGTACTGCATCCCCCCAAAGCAGAGACTTAGAGACTGGACTTAAAAACTCCACCCTTCCTCTTCAGCAAGACAGAGTCATGTAACCCTCACACACACAAGTCGTGGTGGAACAAAAGGACTGTGTGCAACAAGGGCCCTGCCTCAGAAGCATCTGCTGGGGGATGAAATGAGAAGCAGCAAGCAGCGAAAAGAGAAACGAAGGAGTTTTTGAGGTGAGAGTTGAGACCAATAAAAAGAACCACCTGAATAGGTCAAGGCCAACTGAATGCCTGTAGCAGAAGACACAGGGCCTACAAAGGGTCTAAAAGAAGAACAACCCACTCACACTAAAACAATGAATTTCAAGGAATCATTCTCAGAAAAAGGAAAAATCTATTATTATATGATACTTTGCCATCTTACATGACATATACACTAAGTGTTTTGCAGTCATTTTGATGAATTCTGGTCTTTTCATCACACAAATAATATCCATTCTTTACCAAACATCTCCAGAGTAGCTCTCAAAACAAACATGTTGCCATTGATGTCAGTGAGGTTTGGCCACAAGACTAGCGGTGCTCCGATCAACCAGGTTCCGATCGCTGTCTGCTGATAATCGCTCCTTTTGATTCGATGTGATTGGTGATCTCTCAAAAAAACTAAATAAGCATTGTAGGCTCTTTCTTTATACGCCTATCTGTCTGAATAAGAATTTTTGTGTAAGCCTGCCTTTAAAAAAAAAAAAGAAAAGAAAAAAGAAAGGGAGAAAAATACATTAAAAACAGTAATGTTATAAAATATCATTGCAATTTAAAATAACCACTTCTAATTGAAAGTATTTTCAAATGTAATTTATTCCTGTACTCCAATCTTCAGTGTCACATGATCCTTCAGAAATCATTCTAATATGCTGATTTGGTGCTCAAGAAACATTTCTTAGTTTTTATTATCATCAATGTTGAACACAGTTGTGCTGCTTAATATTTTTGTGCAAACCATGACACACTTTTTTCAGGATTCTTTAATGAATAGAAAGTTCAAGAAGTTAAAAAAAAAAGTAAAAAAAAAACTCAAAGTTAAAAAAACAATCTTTTGTAACATTATTTTTGTCAATTTTGATCAATTGAATGTATCTTTGCTGAATATAATGTATGAAAAAATCCTGATCAGACCATGCCTATAAATAATGCTACAAGATAAAAAGGAAGGCTTCAAATAGACTCTATGATCAATGACTGGTACTTTTTCCAGTGATCAGAGCACTCTTACACAAGACATGCAAAAAACAGTAATAGCATTAGCACTTTGTATTCAAGATTAAAGATAATAAGTAAATTTCAGCATGTGTATCACAAAAGCAATCATATAATTTCAGGAGATTTGGAATATATTGCTACTTTGAGGGTGTTTTTGGTCTTTTTTGAAGTTAAGGAAGCGTAAATAATGACAGAATTGTCATTTTTGGGTGTACCGTTTATTTAAGAATACCTACAGTGATGCTGGGAGTGTATATTGGCTGCAAATAAATTCAAACAAATGCACACGTAGGACTTTCTCTTTATGGTTGGCACAGTCACCATAGCAGTGAACTTGGCCTTATCTCACCACACCCCTCTGATGCAAACTCTGCTGTTACTTCCCATAGCCCTCCCCACCCTAAAACACACGCTCACACAACAGTCCTAACATGCTCATTGCTTTACCTCCAGTTCTTGTACTCAAAAAGAAAGGTCTGCCCTGCATACGTGCAGAAATGAAGTTTCTTCACAGGATGCTTGGCTGAAATGTAGCTTTGCTAATGTAATGCAAACCTCAATGTTTCACCTCGTCTCAAACCATTTAATGTCCGTGAAGCAGATGAGCACCCAGACAGGAAGGAAGAAGTTTCTCTCTTTCTGAAAGCCAGCGCATCTCTGCTGCAGAGCTGCACCGAGAGAAAAACGGCAAGAGAGAGCTGGTGATGTAAATTTAAAGGCATAGGGGCAAGATGCAGTTGTTCCACAGAACATACCTGAGAGGATAGTCTATACTTTCCTGGAAGAATGTGCTCGAGACGGACACATTTTATGCCTCGCTCCTTACAATTAAGCTACAGTAAAAGGCTAATGCAAATGTCCAGCATTTGCATGCGCTTAGAGGGGGCTACAGGAACAAAGGTTCGCAACTTTTTTTCCAAATCACGTAATTTTCACATTCTGAGCAATGGCTTGCATGCCGTTTCCAACGTCACACACACACATTGAGACACACCCTCCCCACCCTGAGCACTCCACCCCCGCTCCCTCACAGTTTGGCAGAACTGCAGGGGTTGCTATGGGGACGGGATTCTTTCCCTGGTTAATGATTGTGCCGCAATGGTAGGGGGTCATTCTGTCACATCGCCTCTAAACTGGGGAGACATGGACAATATCCTTACAGTCCCATACCACACACACACACAAACACACCCCAAAGCCCCCACTCATCCAAAGTCCCACCTCTAACTTGGTTTACTTCCTTTAGGTCTGGGAGCTATACCACACAATGCTGCACGTCTCCTTAACCTCTCATTTTCCCTCCATTTTCCTCTGCTCTCTCGGACAGCCGAATCCTCCTCAGGCAGCTTTCAAAGTGAAAAAAGACCTTGATAATATCTGAGGTACATTTGTTTCTTCTGCCACCGGCAGCATACATACTCGGGCCATATTCAGAATAAGGCCTAAACGGAAGGTGTCAGGGGCGCAATGTAGTACCAGCCTGTCCAACTTCATATGGTTAACATTCTTGAGAATAGAGTAAAGAAAATGGGCTTTTAATAGGGAGCAATGGTCAACAAAGCATGTGATGTTGAGGCATTACACCATATTAACTTACCTCAAATATCTACTTCATATGATACAGAATCAAGTTTATACAAAACAGAACACTGACTAATTTGTGTAGCACTTTTAGAGCTAAGCTTTAGGACAGGTTAAGGGTGTGACACTAAAGTGCAGTCAATAACATAAGAGGCGATTTAAGCCAGGGAGTGAGAGGAACTGCCACCCTGCAAAAACACAACCTCAGTCACACCCAGGGCCGACTGCACCCTTCTCCTAAAAATAACTGTACTCTAGGACAGTGGCAGTCTCTAACTGTCTCAACTCCTAAAAACAGATGCACTTTACATCCCCCCCAAGCTTGTTGGCTTGATTAGGCAGCCAGTGGATGCCTCAACCTATAAACACCCTTCTAAAGCGATGTCACCCTGACAAAACCCAAAGACTGAGACCTACAGAGGGTAGCTGAGTGTTTGACCAAAGTTTGTCCATAGATGTTAATGATTACAAGCGGTCTGGCACACCCAGAGCACTCTCTGTTCCTCCAATGATAATGCCTCAGTCCACTCACCTCCCTGACTCTATCAATAACAACTCACGCAGGAGACTCTGCTCCCAAGAATGAGCTCAGTTGCAGAATATACCATATTAAAGGCAAAAACAGGTGGAAGATTACATTAATTAGGTCTAACACAGGGGTCACCAAACTCGGTCCTGGAGGGCCAGTGTCCTGCAGAGTTCCGCTCCAACTCTAATCAAACACACCTGAACCAGCTAATCAAGGTCTTACTAGGTATAGTTGAAACTTCCCGGCAGGTGTGTTGAGGCAAGTTGGAGCTAAACTCTGCAGGACACCGGCCCTCCAGGACCGAGTTTAGAGACCCCTGGTCTAACAGGTAGTACTGTACTACAGAGGTAGAGTAGACTAAAACCGTGGTTCTCAATTCCAGTCCTCACGACCCCCTTTGAATGGAACATATATGCTCCCTTCGAACTAGAATCATGTCGGAATATCCTGTGATGTCCACTTCACAGGGTACTTGCGGTCGAATAGAACAAACATCTGAAGTGATAAGAGATACATACAAAATGTGCAGAGCGGGGGGTCGCGAGCACTGGAATTGGGAACCACTGGACTAAAAGATGCAATATACCTCAGTCAGGTTAGACGCCACATTGAATTTAACCCGGGTGAAATGAGGCCGTGAGGGATAGAAAGACATTTCATCAGCTAAACAATCAGTAGTGTTTAAAAACAGTACAATCCACTGAATGCACTGTACGTCTATACCTTACAGGCTTGCTTTCATTTCTGTCCAAAATTTGACTAAGGTCTATATCTTAAAAATGCATCTTTGGAGGTATGGATCTAAATGGATACTTGGCCATTTTAATTAGTGATGGGACGATTGATACCGAGGCTCCGATGCTCCGACGCAGTTTTCAAAGCACTATTGTATCACACACTGTGCCGATGCTTGTATCGAAATGACAATACCACGTGATTGATGACGTTTGAAGCTTCGAACATCATGCAGTATCAGAAGGTGGTTTGAAAAAAATCGGCGCTTCGCATGACTCTTGTGTTTGACTTTACATTGACTTGGTTGTGTGTATGTGTGTGTGTGTGTACACTTATTTGGGATTCAGTAGAATAGTTTAGAATAACCTCAACACCAGACAGAAACTGAATGCACGTCACACCTCTATCGCGTTTTATCATGTTCTAGCTGGGGTCTCAGAGACCCCGAACAGCTCACCCAAAATATTTTTGCTACTACTCACGTCAATTATTAATTATAATCACATACTTGTATATTTTATATTATTGATCAATATGTAAATCCATTGACCGGACTACGCATGACACGAGTTGGCACAGATTAAAAACTTTTTCAAACCATCCTCTGCTCCGCGATGTTTCGTTTGATAAGCTGGAGAAACTGAGTCTGATCACCAGATGTTGCTAATGCACACTGTGTTAAAAAGCTTTGAGTAATGAACCGTTTTTCGGCACAATTTCATAAAAGCCTCAAATGGTTCAGAAAGCCTCGGTTTCCCATCACTAATTTTAATCATATATAATAAGCTGGATGTTTACAAATATTTTTTGCATACATACATATATATATATATATATATATAAAATATAATATAATTTATTGCTGTATAACTGACCTTTCATTCTGTTAAACATTTTCTGAAACCAACCAATCAAATCACAAAATAACCCCTTCAGATCGAAGACCCCTTTGCTATGTGCTGGGTGACTGATCATCTTGTTAGGTCTTATTTTGTGACCGTGACAAGCTGACCATACACATACACACGAACCTATCTCTAGATGACAGTGTAACCCATTAAAAGTACTAGTACATACTTTTGTGCAGCAAAAACAAACAAAACAGTTACAAGTACACACTTCAAATGTGACCCCATCCCCCCACCCCTTGGCATCATGGGATGTTAATGATAGTTTTCAGTAGCCTACAGTCCTAGTTGTGTACAACCTGCTGCAGTCTCTTGTTAGACAATGTACTGCTGGCAGTACTTTGATATTTAGCCCTTTACCAACTGAAAGATGATGACAAAAGGCAATAGCATATAGCATTATAGGGCAGCAACAACAACCGTATTTTTTCATCCCATGCAAATGCAAGGCTGCTGTCCCTTTAAGAAAGCAGCTAAGATGGTTTCTCTCGCATTCGGCGCGCTTCCTTCCTGCCTTCGCCGCTTTAAAACAGCAATGCAGATAAGCGTCGACTCTGACAGATGTGCCACACACTACTGACTTTGTCACGAGTTGCACAAGTATTTCAAATGCACCAGCGCTATCGTTTGGGGGCTTTTGGATAAGCACGGGCTAAGAGTCGCATGCACAGGAGTGAGGAAATCACACAGCAGCTCAGATATTATCGGCTCATTTCGGTTAACGGCGAGCAAACCGAAACCGGGTAACTACTCATAGATGAGGAACTCGGGCGGAGTCCTGCAGAATGGAAATCGGACAGCGACAGCCGTCAAAAGCTACCGGCTACGTTGCAAATGAGTCGATAGCGAACGATAAACGGACTTACTTTTCTGTTCCGAGTCTCCGTGTGCATCTCGGTATCTAAGCGGCGGTGAAGGGGAGGAGCAGAGGGGGGGTCGATCGGATCGGGCGGGGTGATATTTGAATAACAGTGAGCTCGATGTCAGTTTTTCCACCTCAGTATTAGAGGAGAAAGATGCGCTCGTTGCCTCTGCGGATCACAGAAATCATATCCCCGGCGTCGAGAAATAAACCCTCTTTCCGTCGCCCCGGTCGTCTTTCAGTGCGTGTTTGTTTCCGTGTTTCAGGGTTGGGCTCGAGCTGTGAGTCTCTCCTCCGCCTCTCCCTGCTGCTGACCCCACCCTGCGTCCCCACCCCTTCACTGTGTCAATCACAGCCGCTGTGTGTGTGT